TTGAGTAAAATATTCTAATACCCTTTATTCATATTGCATGCTCTTAGTTATGTATGTGTGTGCATATACTTCATTATATGATTTTGAGGGCATGTTTTGCTAAATTTAGTAGTCCTGTTATTTTTTTAATAGCTCAAAAAAATAGGTATTGGCTCTTCCACCAAAAGTCCAAGTCCTGAGTGAAAAGCTATGATGCTGATTTGTACTTTTTTGGTGTGTTGATATCTGAATATTTTTTAATTAAACTAACAATACTTTTTTTAAAAAACAGATAACACTGCTGCAGATGGAGCACAACTTTGATATTGTAAGTGATTTGTAATGTTTAAGAATTCTTCTGAAATACAAAAAAGTGTCATCTGAACGTAAAAACAAATATCTATATATTTAATAGATGAACCATGCATGTCGAGCCTTAACATATATGATGGAAGCACTTCCCAGATCATCTGCTGTAGTGGTAGATGCAATTCCTGTCTTCTTGGAAAAGGTAAAATGCAACCAAAAGAGTGTTAAACTAACCTGAGAGGATTTTATCTTTTGTTTTAACTTTAGGATATACCATTAAGATAATGACTTCTTTTCATAGCTTATATAGATAATACATAATCATAGAATCATTGAACTTGGAAAAGACCACTAAGATTGTCAAGTCCAACTGTCAATTCAGTAATCTCATGACTACTAAACTGTATGCTGAAGCGTCATGTTTACATTTCTTTTTTGAACATCTCCAGGAAAGGAGACTCCACCACTTCCCTGGGCACTCTTTCAGTAAAGAAATTTTTTTCTAATACCCAATCTAAATGTTACCTGACACAACTGAACCCATTTCCTCTTGTCTTATTGCTAGTAACTTGGGAGAAGAGACCAACACCACCTTTCAGGTTGTTCTAGAGACCAATGAGGTCTCCTGTCACTCTTCTCCAGACTAAACAATCCCAATTCCCTCAGCCGCTCCTCCTAAGACCTCTTCTCTAGACTCCTCACCACCTTTGCCCTTCTCATTCATGAGAAGCTTTTAAAAACAGGTTTACACCTGTTCACACCCTTACTGAAAAGCACTGTTTGATTCACTAAGAACTTTGATTAGCATTGTAAAGATACAGTGCAATTATACAAACTGGTAACTCTTGGAGTACCTATACAGCTGATTGAGCTTTAAATTGGCTAGCTGTGACAGCTAGCAGTGCAGCTGCATTAGCATTTGTGTGTAGTATAGGCTAAGTTTCCAAATGTTGATGAAGATGGTTATTTTTACAAATTGGCGTAGAAATTGATCTACAATCTTTCTTGTGTTCTTATAGCTGCAAGTTATTCAGTGCATTGATGTGGCAGAGCAGGCACTTACAGCCCTGGAAATGTTATCACGCAGGCATAGTAAAGCCATTCTGCAAGCAGTAAGTAAAAAAAACCCCACTTCTATCAATTCTACATCTTACTGCTCATATGTGAGACTGAAATAAGAAAACAAGTTTCTGTGATTTTAGCAGTATTGAGTGAAAATATTTGTTTATTTTTTATAGGGTGGGTTGGCAGACTGTTTGCTCTATCTGGAATTCTTCAGTATAAATGCACAGAGAAATGCACTAGCTATTGCTGCCAACTGCTGCCAGAGTATAACACCTGATGAGTTTCACTTTGTCGCAGACTCTTTGCCACTGCTTACACAAAGGTTAACCCATCAGGTAAGAAGCTAGTATGAAATGGAAAATTTTAATTTTGACCTGCAAGTAGTATAATATGCCTCCAGATATCTAGTTCGTTGCTGTGTATTATTTGCCTTTTCAATATGATAATTGTCTTAAAGTTTCTGTAATGTCAGATTGTCATATTCTATCATGCATATGGTCCTTCTGTTTTTTTGTGAATGTACTGTAAAGATTCATGACAAACCTATTAATTTTGTTAAAAAAGATCCTTTAGAGCATGAATAATAGTGGATTTGTAGTGAATCATTGTGGGGTTTGCTCATCAGTAAGAGGAAATCTAGTAGTATTACTGCTCTTTTTTTTCTTAAAAAGTGGGTTGCAAGATTCTCTCCTACTTCAAACTCAGAAAATCTTCTGTTTCAAATTATTTTTTCTGATTTGACTTTATGGAAAGGCTTATGGGTTTTTTCAAAAGAAAGATCTTACTCTTACATGACAATTTGAAGTGATGAATTTGAAATCATAGGGCTCCTTAGATCTGCATATCCTGCAAGACTGCTCTGTTCAGAATGAGCACTCACAGTGGCTATTGCACCAAAAGATAATTTGACATACTGCTTGGATAGCAGATCCCTGCAAAAAGGTGAAAAATGAGGAATTATTTAATTCCTTAACAAATGTAACTAAATGGAAGCTTCAGGTAATGTTTTTGTTTATTCATCTCAATTTTGCCAACACCTTGCTGAGAGACTACTTGAATATTTGAGGCATCTTCCCAGAAGTCAAATGAGCTTTAGGCGGTACTTTGGAAACAGGAAGCAGCATTCTCAGCGGTAGTAGGGACAAATACTGACTCCTGCTCTCTGAAGAGAAGCTACAGGCCACAAAACTAAAGTTTCAAGAAATTTTGAAGTGGAATTTTTCTGGAAGAAAAAAAACATGCTGAATTAACTCTTAACAGAATAGCTGAAGTTGGAAGAGACCTCTCAATTATCTAGTCCTAACCTCCTTAAGCAAGGTCAAAAAGAGAATATTGCCCATATCTGGCTGATATATTTATTTTTTCTTTAAAATATGTCTAAGGGTGGAGACTTAACCTCTCCAGGCAACATCTTCCAGTGTTCAGCCACCCTTACAGTGGAAGTGCTTTATTATGTTCAGATGAACTTCTTTTAAAAGTGTTTCAATGAGCTTATAATTACAGTTGGTTTTAAAGCAGTCTTTACTACTGTCTTGGCATCTTTGGATTTGCTGTCTTGGCTGCACTGCATGATATACATTTCATGTAGTCTGTATAGCAGAGGCCTTCATTCCCGCTTATGATCTATACTTCCTGTTGCTTTGGCTTTGTAGCTCTCTTCCCTTTTGTTTCCTCCTTGTAGAATCCAAAAAGGTTATTACAGATCCATTTATTCATCTCTAGAGGCCCCTAAAGGTATTTGTGTTGCATGTGTTTTCCAGGGAATATGCAGGAGCAACTATATCAGGAGGTCAGTTTAGACTGTATCAATGAATTTAAAATTCAGAACTGTAATAGTCTGTAAAATGTGATTCGACTGGCTTTTTTGGAGAAGTTTTATGAATGTCTCAAAATGACAGGCTAATCTAATGTAAGTTAAAAATATTTTAATTCAAACAAATCCTTTTTTTTATAATAGGACAAAAAGTCTGTTGAAAGCACTTGCCTCTGTTTTGCACGGCTAGTGGATAACTTCCAGCATGAGGAGGTAAGGGTGTGTTTTTTGGGGGTGGTGAATTTGTTTCTTTCTTCCATCTCTTAGCTTCTCCAAAGGGCTCACCTTTCAAAGTCAGACTAATGTTTTCAATTTTGCTTTTTCCTCCTAAAGAACTTACTTCAGCAGGTTGCTTCCAAGGACTTGTTAACAAATACCCAGCAGCTCTTGGTAGTCACACCTCCTATCCTGAGCTCAGGAATGTTCATCATGGTGGTGCGCATGTTTTCCTTAATGTGCTCCAATTGTCCTACACTTGCAGTCCAACTTATGAAGCAAAGTGAGTTCACTCTTTCATATTCTGGGGGACCTATTTAAGTTAATACCCACAGTCAATATGGAATTTCCTCCACTTGAGTAGATAAATACCGTGTTCTTTTAATTTTTCTCTCTCTCACTGTGCCTCCTCTGGGATACAAAGTTTAGTTAATCTTGTTGAAAACTTTTTTTTCCCCCCTCCCTTTCCTGCCTCTAGCTGTTGTCACTAGAGTGCTCGCATACTTTTAAGTTTACTAGCTACCTAAGTTACTCTCATTCCAACACAAGTTGAATATTTCTTTTTGTAGCCTTTACAAAGGGGCAGAAAGCCCTTTACAAAGGGGAGAAAACATGTGGTTTAAGGACTTTTTTCTAATGGAAAACTTCAAGAAAAGTAAACGCTGTGTAGCTGTTCTAGTTATCACTCATTTTCTTCTTTTTGCATCTGAATTCTGAATAACAACTACCTTGAATGCTCCCCTGTTTTCTTCTGTGCCCTGTTAGTGATATTTCTCCCATAGATGTCCTTTAAAGGAAAAAAAACCAAACACATATCTTCAAATGTTGAAGGACATTTGTCTTACTCTGTTTGCTTTGGGCAATGACTTTTCTGTGTAGTGCCCAGCACAAAATGGAGTCCATAATCTGATATAGGCAATCTCATGAATAATATTTTTTTATAGATATTGCAGAAACACTTCACTTTCTCCTTTGTGGAGCCTCAAATGGGAGTTGTCAAGAACAAATTGACCTTGTTCCACGAAGTCCTCAAGAACTTTATGAGCTTACTTCTCTTATCTGGTAGGTTATGCAGCCCTAGGTTTTGGGTCTGATTGGTATGTTAAAATCCCTAACTTCTTAAAGGTGAAGGCAAACAGTTACAGCTTAAATGGAATTCATTGTATTCTTCTAGTAAAACACTGTTTTAATGTTCTTTACAGTGAACTGATGCCTTGCCTGCCAAAAGAGGGAATCTTTGCTGTTGATACTATGCTGAAGAAAGGAAATGCACAAAATACAGATGGTGCAATATGGCAATGGCGAGATGACAGGGGTCTTTGGCATCCCTACAACCGGATTGATAGCCGAATAATAGAGGTAGCAATTACAAACATTTGTATTGTTGGTAATGTTTTGAATTTTTTAATATGCATGTGCTTGTATAGGGAATTGAGTGCTTTTTTTTTTTTTAATGGCTCTGAACATCAGCCTTGTTATTTCTTATAAGAAACTTGAGTTTCCTCAAACCTCATGCTGTAATATTGCAGTATTCTGGTATTCATTATTAGGTAGACTGCTTAATCACTTTTAAAATTCTCTTTCTGTCAGTCATTTTTTCCTACTATGTTGCCCTTATCACCTTCCTGTTGTGTAACAATTTCTTAACTTTAAACTCTTCCTTGGTTTTAGGCAGCTCATCAGGTTGGTGAAGATGAGATTAGCCTTTCTACACTTGGACGTGTCTATACTATTGATTTTAACTCTATGCAGCAAATAAATGAGGATACTGGAACAGCACGTGCCATTCAGCGAAAACCAAACCCTTTAGCCAATACAAACACTAGTAAGTACAACTTAGTAGACACCAGGTGTCTGTAGTTATGGTGAGCTTATGCTGGGTTATTAGCTAATAAGTAGCAGATCATTGCATATGTTTCTTACGATTTCTATGGAACATCAAACTGTTCTGATTTATGTGAATGGAGACAGCTGTTCAACAAAATTCAAACAGTTGAGATGTATTTTTTAATATGTAAATTCTTTTCCTGGGAACTGAAAATGTATTATATTGGGGGGAGCTGGGATTGGGATTTTCTGAAACAATTTTATTCATATGGCACTTGTGTGTAACAGAGCCTGTGAGTACTTCTTACTATTGTGCAGAAATATATAAGGAAACTGAAAAAGAAAGCTTCAACTCCTTGAAAGAAGAGGATTTGTGTCTACATTCTTGCCATCAGTTTCACTTCTAGTTCTTAAATTATATATGTATTTTTCAATTCAAGAGCGAAACTAATTCAGTTTTTCAAGGACATAATCAGAGCAGAGATGCAAAGAACTATGCAGTGATTTATTCTACAATTTCTCACAGGTGGACATTTAGAATTGAAGAAGGATGATGCTCGAGCACAGCTAATGAAAGAGGACCCAGAACTGGCAAAATCCTTTATCAAAACGTTGTTTGGTGTTCTTTATGAAGTGTATAGCTCTTCAGCTGGGCCTGCTGTTAGACACAAGTGCCTTAGAGCAATTCTTAGGATAATTTATTTTGCTGATGCTGAACTTCTAAAGGATGTACTGAAAAACCATGCTGTTTCAAGGTGGGTTCATTAACTGTTGTAAATGTAATTTATTCTGAGCTTTTAACTCAAACTTGCAGTTACTTTTTTGAGTTAGCTTTTTCAGGTGAAAATTGTACTTCTAGATTCCTGACTATTTTCTGGAAGTTGAGGCTGCCAGCTCTTTCTTCAGCAATTTTTTGCATTTTTAGATTTTGCAGTAGATGCCAACTCTGTGTTCTTAGTGGAAATGTAGATTACCTGTATGGCTATATGTATTAATAATGTCTAATATTGCTATTTAGTGAATTCCTGATTTTATAAACTGGACTATGGGTTTTTCTGAGGGCAGGATGACTTTTGAGGTAATACAATCTGAATAATAACAGTTTCTGATGGCGTTCTATGATGTCATAACTGGCTGCTTAGATGAGGGGAGAGCAGTGAATGTCACCTACCTTGACTTCAGCGAGGCTTTTTGACACTGTCTACCATAATATCCGCATTAGGAAGCTCTAGAAGTATGGGTTAGATGAGTGGACAGCAAGATGAACAGAGAGCTGGTTGATTAACTGAGCTCAGAGGGTTGTGATCAATGTTGCAAGGTTGAGTTGGAGGCCTTTAACGAGCAGTATTCCCCATGGGCCAGTACTGGGTCAGATCTTATTCAACATATTCATCAGTGACCTAGACCAGGGGACAGAGCATATCCTCAGAAAGTTTGCTGATGATACAAAACTGGGAGTTATGACTGATACACCAGAGGGATGTGCTGCCATCCAGTGTGACTTAGAGTGGAGAGTTGGGCAGAGAGGAACCTAATGAGGTTCAACAAAGGCAAATGCAAGGTCCTGTACCTGGGGAGGAACAACCTCATACATCAGTATAGACTACGAGTAGGCCTGCTGCAAAGCCGTTCTAAGGCTTGGAGTCCTGGTAGACAATAAGTTAAGCATGAGACAGCAATGTCATGTTATTGCCAAAGTCAATGGTATCCTGTGATGTATTAAGAAGAGTGTGGCCAGTAGGTCAAGGGCAGTTATCCTCACCCTCTATTCTGCCCTGGTGGGGCCACATCTGGAATATTGTGTCCAGTTCTCGGTTCCCCAGTTAGAGCCAGGGAACTACTGGAGAGAGTCCAGTGGAGGGCAACAAAGATGACATAAAGGGTGAGTGTCAGGAGGACCAAGCCAAGCTCTTCTTCGTGTTGTCCAATGATAGGATAAGGGGCAATGAGTGCAAACTGGGGCATAGGAGGTTCCTCAAAAACATCAGGAAAAACCTTTTCACCGAGGGTGACGGAGCACCTGAACAGGCTGCCCAGGGAGGTTGTGGAGTCTCCTTCTCTGGAGACATTCAGAACCTGCCTGGATGCATTTCTGTAGGTCCTACTGTAAGTGATCCTGCTTTGGCAGGGGGATTGGACTAGATGTATTTTTGAAGTCCCTTTCAACACCTAACATTCTGTGATTCTGTCCTCTCTCATATGAGGAAAGTTTGAGAGAGCTGAGACTATTTAGCCTGGAGTAGAGAAGGCTGAGAGGAGACTTAACATCTATAAATGTCTAAAGAGTGAGTACAGGGAGCATGGAGCTGGTTTCTTTTTAGCAGTGCCCAATGACAGGACAAGTGACAATGAGCACAAGTTTGAACACAGGAAGTTTCTTCTAAATACCAGGAAGAACAACTTTACTGTGAGGATGACAGAGCACTGGAACAAGTTGCCCAAGGGAGGTTGTGGAGTGTCGTCCTCTGGAGATATACAAAACCCATCTGGATGCAATTCTGTGCAATGTGCTCTAGGCAATCCTGCTTTAGCACTGGGGGTGGAGTAGAAAATCTCTAAAGGTCCTTTTCAACTCCAATGATTCTGTGATTCAGCTAATAAGATCTCTTCCTGAAGCCTCTCCTACATGTTGTGTCACAAGTTAGGGATTTAGATAAAACAATGCAATTAGAAAATAAACTGACTAATTCTTCAAAGGCAGTACCAAGTTCACGCCATCCTATTCTTCAAAGGAAGAAAACTCTCTCCCTTTTTGCCACATGAGAACTAGGTGGCAAGAGAACTTTTTTGAGTTCTTTTATTTATAGCTTTTACAAATGAAATCTGTTTACTTTTGGTATCCAGGGTGCAGGATGATCTGGCTTGATTACTTTTCTTTTTTTTGCCTTTTTTAAAGTAAATACAAACCTAATTCTAATACATTATCTGTTTTAGTCATATTGCCTCCATGCTGTCAAGTCAAGACCTTAAGATAGTGGTTGGAGCTCTGCAAATGGCAGAAATTTTAATGCAGAAGTTACCTGACATTTTTAGTGTGTACTTCAGAAGAGAAGGTAAATATTTTCTATTCACATCCTTGTCTAGTATTTTAAAAGCATGTATGTTGAGAATCCATATACTTTACACCCCACTTTATTCTCCCTAAGCTCTAAGAATTTAATACCGTTCCATAATAATAGAAACAAATCCATGCAAGCAATCCTCATGATTAGGGAAGGAGCTGGCCAAGACTCTGGAGGAGGCAAACTTGTTGTTTCTAAATCTGTAATAAGTTTGTACAGGCTTTCTAGGTGCTAATGAACTTACACTTAGGTTAAAGGTGACTTGCTGTAATTGCATAGGTAGTCTTACTGGACAAAACTGATGAATCTTTTGCAGAAAGTTTTTGTTCTAATCTACTGTTTTTTGGGTGTTTTCTTCAGCTACAGTTTGTGTGCTGTCTTTTTTTAAGGAAAAACAACCCCAAACCATGCCACCTCTAAGTTACCCTTTGGAGAAGGGATTGAACTGCTTTTACCACTTATGAGTATTCATGAATGGGATGAGTCAATGCTGCCATAGTTGAAACAGAAGTTTGAATAACAGACTTCTGCCTTTCCAAACATCCTTGTTACTGCCTCCCTCACCACTCTTTTCACCCACCCACCCCAAGGGCAAAGAAAACCACACCACAATGAAACAATAAAGAAACCAAATAAGAAGAAAAAAAACAACACAAAAACAACCAACCAAACTGTCCCACCAAAGATTTCTTCTTTTTTTTACAAAGGGGTGATGCACCAAGTGAAAAACTTAGCTGAGTCTGAAGCTTTGCTGACAAGCCCACCAAAAGTATGTGCTAATGGATCAGGAACGCTGGGTACCACTACAATGATAAGTACTGGAACAGCCACTGCTGCTAGTAATGCAGCTGCAGATTTGGGCTCTCCTAGCTTACAGCACAGCCGGGAGGATTCTTTGGATCTGAGCCCACAAGGGTAAGCGTTCTTTCTTTTGTGGAAAAACAAGCTGGTTGTTGTCTGTGGGTTGTTGTTTAAGTTATGATGTAATGATATGAAACAATCCGTCGTTTGGGGAGAGGCTGGAGAATGCCAAGAGCAACAGCTGTAGTCTCATAATTCTTGAGGACAAAAGAATTCTGTCGGAGAAATGGTAACTATGGTTCATGGTTCCTTTCTGCTGGAGACTGGAGGAAAAAGAAGTAATCCTTAAGTTGTTCTGTTGTAATGCAACAATTTTGAACCCTTGTAGAATTAAAATCTTATAAATTATTTACAGTTGGCCTTTATTTTAAAGATGAAATGTTAGTCTTAATGTGTTGGCATACTAAGGAAACTCACTTTAAACCAGAACTGAAATATGTGAACATTGGGAAGCGTGGGACTTTGTAAGCAGAAACTCTATAACATGTTGAAAAAGTGTTTTCTGGGCTTTAATAAGGGAGGCAGGTCAAGTATCCTTTAGTGTATATTCAGTAGAGATTTGTAGATTTTTATAAGTGTGTTCAAATAAATGCATACCTAGATAATAAAAGTAGAAACATGAAAATTATGAGAAACCTTTGTTTAGTAGCTCTTCTGGCTGTATTTCACTACTTATAGTAGGAAGGTAACAGCAGTAAAACCCCTTGTGGAGTAGTCATTTAGTCTTTACAGTTAAAGTAGAGTTGATGCCTCTTCTCCCAGAGCTTTTCTCTTGTGCTGCCCCTGCTTATGAGATGGAACCTTTTTATTTAATTCTTGAGGAAATAGCTGGCAGATGTGTTGTATTGCATATGTATGTAGTAGATGGAAGCATGTTACTTTATTTTTAAATTTGGACAGACGACTGAGTGATGTTCTAAAGAGAAAGAGACTGCCAAAACGAGGGCCAAGGAGACCAAAATACTCTCCTCCAAGAGATGATGACAAAGTAGACAATCAAGGTAAATCATTCTTAAAATGTGATACTCCTTTTAAATTTTAGAGTAAGATTATGAGCTGTCAAAAGTGCTAGCTGTAATAAACCTGTTGATTCTCTTATCTTTGCATCCTCCAGCCAAAAGTCCTACAACTGCTCAATCTCCTAAATCTTCTTTCTTGGCAAGTTTAAATCCTAAAACATGGGGAAGATTAAGCACACAGTCCAACAGTAATAATATTGAACCGGCGCGATCAGCAGGAGTAAGTGGTCTTGCAAGGGCTGCTTCCAAGGATACCATTTCCAATAACAGGTATACACACACTAAAAATCAAAATACTTGTAATACAGTGTTAACTCTGAGGTGCAGCAACTTTCATATGGTAAGCCTTCAGGTGATTAAGTAGCACCTGTCAAAGAAGTTTGAGCTTAACCACTCTTAATATAACCCGGGAAGAAAAACCAAGAAATAAAGGTAGAGAAAACTTCTTAATAGTTTAAAGTAGCATGCTGGGGAAGATTCTGATAACTGGGAAAAGTGATGCAAGAAGTGATCTGTAGAGAACAGACCTTTAGTGTGTTGGAGTAAGAGGGAAAGGTGTTACTGTCTGTGACTGCTGTTAAACCATAGGGAAAATGATGCTCTGTGTTTACTTGTTGTATTAGAATATACAAATGCTAAGTGTGGCTAAAATGTCTGTGTGCTTCTTTTGCAGAGAAAAAATAAAGGGCTGGATAAAGGAGCAAGCCCATAAGTTTGTAGAATGTTATTTTAGTTCTGAAAACATGGATGGAAGCAATCCCGCACTAAACGTATTACAGAGACTTTGCACTGCAACTGAACAACTCAACCTCCAGGTTAGAAAGGGCAAACTTAATTGGAGTAGAGGTGGGAATGAAAGCAGTTTGAAGTATTTAGGAGGAAGCTAGAGCAAAGTTGACTATTTTAGATAGTGTGGCCAAGTTACTAAGTGTAGTTTTTGTTACCCTGAATAACTATACACTGTTTCTTATCTTGCAGTGGATTGCTTGGAATTGTTTTAGAATGATTATATTAGTTATGACATATTTATGATAAATTACTGGTATTAATAAGGATATTCTTGGTTCCTAGCAATGTAGCACTTATGTAGTATTATAGTTCAAATTTAATGTTCTGCAGTTAAATGCTAGAGATTGACTTTATATCTAAAGAACATTAATGATTTGTAATAAGAGCTTTGGGTCTGGTAGGAGGACAAGAGAGAGGTAGTCTTTTGTTGAAAGGATGGACGAAATGAATTTCAACAAGGCCCAGTGAACCTGGGTTGGGGCAGTCCCAAGCACAAATACAGGCTGGGCAATGAGTGGATGGAGAGCAGCCCTACAGAGGACTTGGATGTGTTGGTGGATGAAAAACTGAATAGGAGCCAAGAATGCAGCCCAGCTTGCAGCCTAGAAATCAAATTGCATCCTACCTTGCATAAAGAGAAGCATGGCCAACAGGTTGAGGGGAGGTGGTTCTCCCCTTCTGATCTCATGGGACCCCAGCTGGAGTACTGCATTCAGCTCTGGTGCTCCAATGTAAGAAAGACCTGCTTGAGCAGGTCCAGAGGAGGGCCACAAAGGTGATCAGGTGGTTGGAGCACCTCCCCTGTGAAGACAGACTGAGAATTCGGGCTTGCTCAACCTGAAGAAGAGCAGACTTTATAGAGACCTTATAGCAACCTTCCAGTACTTAAAGGGGACTTAAAGGAAAGAAGGGGAAGAAGCCTTGATCAAGGAGTGTAGTGATAAGATGACGGGTTTCAAGTTGAAAGAGGGTAGATTTAGATCTGATATTAGGTAGAAATTGCTTTCTGTGAGGGTGATGAGACACGGTAACAGGTTGCCAAGAGAAGTTGTGGAAGCCCTCTCCCTGGAAGTGTTCAAGGCCAGGTTGGATGGGGCTTTGAGCAGCCTGGTCTCATGGAGAGTGTCCCTGCCCATGGCAGAGGGGTTGGAACTACATGACATTAAAGTTTGCTTCCAACCCAGACTATTCTGTGATTCTATTCTAAATACAAATTGACCTGAATCTGCAACATCTCAAGAATTTGAGCCTTGCTTCTCAGAAAGTTGTGATCCTCAATAGATAGATAGACTTAAAACCCCCTAACTTCTTGTCGTGGTTCAAGCTGCCTGGGCCACGAAGGAAAAAAAAAAAGAAAACAAAAACATAAAAACCACATGTGGTCTCCAGCTCACTCCTCCCCACACCCCCATTTCCACAGTGATGTGGAACCAAAAAGGCTCAAGGGTTGAGGTTAAGGATAGGGATGGTAATAATGTACCGTTTAAGATGATAGGTGAAGAGAGACTTGGGGAGAAAAACATAGATTTAACTCACCACCACCACTTATGAAGTAGGATGGTCAGAGGAAGACATCAATAAAAATGACCTTATCTTAAATATACTTTGTCCCCTCCATCTTCCCAGCTACCTCCTCCCTGCCATTAGTACAAGGAGGGTGAGGGGTGCAGTCCATCTGGCCATTACTCATTGTCCATGGCAGCTCTTCCTTGAGAAAGAGGGCTCCTCACAGTCTCTCCTTCATGCTGCATGCCCACCTCACGGGAGGCAATCCTCTTCCTCCTTGTGAGTCCGTTGGGGTCATGGATTGCTTTGAGCATGTGCCCCACAGATGCTTGGTCTCTCTCTCTCTTGTGTGGGGCTCTGCATGTACCACCTGGATGTTCTTGCCACTGTCAGTCCCCTCACAACAGGCAGGCAAGTCACCTTCCTGCCACCTCAACCACCATGGGACTCCAGGGAGAGGTCCTGCCTTCTCCGGGGTTCTTCTCCCCCTCCTTCTTCTCAGGACCATGTTCGTTTGTTCTCTCACTCACTCTCCAACAGAGAGAGAAACTTACTCACTGTCCAACAGAGAAACTACCCAGCATAAATGACAGGACAGCTCAAAAGGAGACAGAACCGAGGGCAAGAGAGAACAATAGAGTTGCCTCTTAAATACCTTGATTGCAGAGGTGCTGATTGGCCTGGCCCTGGCCAGAGGCAGGCCCAACTCTACCTGGGGATGGAGGAGGCTCTAAAAGCTCCACGAGTCTACTCCCACTTTTCTGAAAACCCTGTCAGACTCAAACCCCTTCTAAAGTAGCCAAATCATGAGGAGTTTTCTTTGCTTTGGTCTAAGAAACTTACCCTACTCCCTCACAAGGTCATGTATCAATATGAGGATTTTTTCTTTCTTGGGGGGATGGGTTGTGTTTGTTTTTTGTTTTGTTTTGTTTTTTTAAAACCTTCTGTTTTGAGCTCATCTTTACATTGCATGAGACAGAATAGGAACCTTGTATATCTCTTAAAATGTGAAAGATATAGACGCTGCCTATAATGTCTCCTCTTGAATAGAGAAATTGCTTATCTTCAGATTATTTCCCTATCATTGTTTGTATTGAGTTGCTATATACTCCAGACTTGCCCTTTTTCCCTCCTATTAGAGCTGTTCCATGCAGTAGGAGAAAAAATAGTATTTCTTAAGCTTTTAATACCTTGGTAGTAAAATACTATATTCATATTTTTCAGGTGGATGGTGGAACAGAGTGCCTTGTAGAAATCCGTAGCATTGTCTCGGAGTCTGATGTCTCCTCGTTTGAAATCCAGCATAGTGGGTTTGTTAAACAACTGCTGCTTTACTTGACATCTAAAAGTGAGAAAGACGCTGTTAGCAGGGATATCAGATTGAAAAGATTTCTCCATGTGTTTTTTTCTTCTCCAGTAAGTTTTTTTATTATTTTATCATTCTTAGTTATCTTTCTCTCAAATCATATTTTTCTGATCTGAAAGGTTCAGCGATGACCTTGACTTGAAGATGGAGTATGGAAGGAGTGTTTTGTTTAAGCCTAAAGTGCGTAACACTACAACTTCCACATGGTTATGTCTTTACAGGTCATAAACTTTTACAATACCCTGTAATTACAGAAAAATCCACACAACAGTGGGAAAAAAAAATAATCCAAAATGGCCGTTTGTCTTGAACAACTTAAAAGTTGTTCCTGACTTCTAAGAAGTCTATATGGCAGGATTTTGGATAGTAATCTTATTAGTAGCTACTTTTAGTACTAAATACTGGAAGAATCTGGCTTGTCCTGTTTTTGAAGGAAGAAGTTTAAAGTAGAACTACAGCTTCAGTGAAGCTCATTGTTCATGGTTAAGGCTGAATGCTTAAGATTTATAGGGCTATTCAATTAAAATCAAGAGAGAAAAGTGCATTCTTTGAAACAATTCTATAATGAAATTGCTATATGTCATCTAGTCATCTTGCTACTGCTGCTACTTCAAGTGAAAGCAGTGATTCTTAATTTGCCTTTTTTTTTTTTTTTTAAACAACTTGTGGTTAACGTTTTTAAGATGGATTAATCTAAGCACATAACTAAAAGACTGGAATATATTTCAGCTTCCTGGAGAAGAGCCTGTTGGAAGATTAGAGCCATTAGAAAATGCACCTTTGTTGGCATTAGTCCATAAAATGAATAATTGCCTCAGTCAGATGGAACAGTTTCCTGTCAAAGTGCATGATTTTCCTAGTGGAAATGGAACAGGAAGCAGGTAAGGATTAATGCTCAGGTAACAGTTTTGGAAGCATTCATTTTCCAAAACTTGTTCTAATGCTGGAAGTTCCAAATTGTAATGGAAGTTTCCGACCCTATTAAAGATGAAAGTATTTAAACAGTTGGCTTTTTTTATTTGGTGAAAGACTAAATATTTAACCAAATGTTTGCTTACTATTTTGAAACTTCTCTCATTTAGACTGGGGGCAGATGAGTAATTTTAAATGCAATCTCTAAGGTTTTAAAATTTTAAAATTTCTTCCTTGTCTCTATGTAACAAACACTGAATATTTTTTAGTGAAGTAACTAAGTTGCTGAGAACTTTTATTACAGCACTAGACTTTCTTATTTGGATAGATTCTGTTCTCTAGGATGATAGTGAATTGAGTGATAACTTGTCTGTCAACATAGTTTAAACTTACTGTAGAACTGCTCTGTGTCTTAAGATAGAGAAAATTTGTAATCCAACCTATTTGCGTTCTAAGTAACAAATGTGAGTGACTGAAAAGCTATTTCTAAGATTTTTCTGTACTTTTGTGTAGTATATCAACACTTTTTCTTTCATTATACAGCAGTTCTATTTCAGTATTATTCAGACTATGTAAAATCAGGAGGGGAGAAGCATTGAAAATTAATTTTTGAAAACTATTTAAAGTTTGAATTGCCAAAATATTGTGTCTCTTCTATTAAGATAATGTGTGGGTTTTTTGACCATAGAGACACACCACATTACAGTAAATGCATTAGCCTCACACTATAACATTAATTTAATTTACATTAAAATTCAGTACTCATTTTTGTGAAACTTTTAAAATCTGTGGCAATGAATGCAATACATAGTCTTCTAATACTTGAAGGAATTATTTGTCTTGATACTGGCTTGTGCAAATTGCATGTGTGCTGTAATCTTACAGTGCTTCTGAATATGCACTGTTAAATGTAAAAAATAGGATAACTGCAAAAGTTTTAACACTACTAATCACAGAAGCCAAATTCTGCTATTCTTTTGGATAGAAAGTTAAACATGGGAAGTCAAAGTAATCAAGCATTATTTGACTGCTAGTCTTTACCATGGATTATGTCAATGAAGATTTTGAGGCATTAAGACTTGGTAGTCTTTCACTAGCACCTGGAAGTAGAAGCAACCCAAGATAAAAGGTTTATGTATGAAAACAGCTAGCTTGAGTACTGAGTTTTGTGAGATGAAACATGTATATAAACTATACTTGACAAGAAGAAACTGTGAGAGCTTTTGGGTTGTCTCCTCAGGTTGTTACTAAAAACATAGGAATAGATACTTGCATTTTCCATCCCTGATTCTGGTCCTTATTACACTGCAGGTAAACACAGCTTTAAATCTCATGTGGCATCAGCTGATTGCTGAACAAATTCAGTCCTCAAAGATAGAATCATAGAACAGTTTTGGTTGGAAGAGACCTTCAAGATAGAGTCCAACCTTTGTCCTAGTCCTATTAACACCACTAAACCATGTCCCTCAGCACAACATCTGCTTGTCTCTTGAACACCTCCAGGAATGGCAACTCAACCACCTTCCTGGGCAGGTTGTTCCAGTGCCTGACCACCATTTCAGTAGAGAAATTCTTCCTAACATCCAACCTGAACGTCCTCTGGCGCAACTTAAGGCCACTTCTCTGTGTCCTATCACTTGCTACTAGGGAGAACAGACCATCCCCTGCCTCACTACAACCTCCTTTCAGGTAGTTCTAGAGAGTGATACGGTCTCCCCTCAGTCTCCTCTTCTCCAGGCTAAACAGCCCCAGATTCCTCAGCCATTCCTCATACAACACGTGCTCCGAATCCTTTACCAGCTTGATAGCCTGCCTCTGTACCCTCTCCAGCACCTCAGTGTCCTTCTTGTAGTGAGGTACCCCAAACTGGACACAGTACTCGAGGTAATGCTTCACCAAAGCTGAGTACGGCGGCATGATCACCTCCCTACTCCTGCTGAG